GGACTATTTGTAAAATTCGGGGGTTTGTTTGACCTTACTTATGATTACTTCAGCCACACAGGACAAGTCAACATACACTGAGGATCTACATGCCATTTTTAACTGTAAAGCATTTATCAGACCTGAGTAAGAACTATACCCATCTTGTCAATTCAGTGCAATGGACCTGCTCATCTTTGTACCCATGTCAAAACCCAGGTGATGTTTATATTGTAATTCTTATTGGAGTTACTTCTGTGTTTGCAACAGGCTTGATCAGGATGCTGTCTCTCCATTGCAAAAGGTTCATGAAAACCCATTCACCACATACCTTGTCAAGGATGGCAGCAAGGATGTGCACTTCAAGCAGCCTGCACATAGCAGCAGCCCCTGCAAATGAGAGCCAGGTCCCAACTACACTGCTCAATTTGTCTCACAGAGGTTTCCCCTCTGAGCAAGTCACCAAGATGAGCAGAGAGCACAGGAGCTTTGTTCTACAAACCACAGAAGTTATTCTGCAGCCTGCTAAGAGATGGTGGGAACAAGTGCAAGGCTTGCTTGTGAAGCTGAAGGCAGCAGTCAGGGAACACAACTGCTAAATACAAAGTCTGAGCACCCCGGTCTACAATTTCTGTCATTTCAGTCACATGCAAACCAAGACACATACTGCTGTAGAGAGGAGGGAAGGGAATCCTTGTAACTGTAAAAACCTTTAAAAAAATAATCCCAAGCAAAAGTGAAATCCAATAGGATGAACCTGTCTCACTTCACCTTTCCCTTCCAAAAAGCATTTGACACAGCAGGCACGGAGAAAATGGTGCCAGTGCAGCATGTGTATCTTTATGGGTGGCTTCCCGTGCCTACAGCAACCCATAATTCTTCACCTACCTTTGGTAAGCATACTAGAGAGGGTTTTTTTTCTCCAAGTAGTATATACAGTCTCCAACAGGTATGAGAAAAGAGTTGGACAAAAAGCTATTTACAAAGAGTTAAAAAAATAAAGTCATCAAGAATTTAAGAATCAGGGAGGGGGGCTGAAGGAACAAAGAGAGGACATCCCCTAAAAGGATAACATGACAAGGGTGTCTCTCTTCTTCTTTAAACCGTTTAGGTCAAGGACAGAAGGAAACAGAGTGAAATAAAAGCCAGTTTCACATCTCTCCTGCACAGACTTACAAACATTTGAAGAAAATGAACTGTGAGATGATGCGTGTAAAAAACAGATTGCTCCACCGTGACTAGTGATGGTAAGAGTTATGCTGTGTATTTAGGCATGCATTCAGAAAAAGGTGACTGCCAGTTCACAGGTATGAATCATGAATCTCAAGAGCAGAGTAAGAGACTACAGTGTGCTGAACAGAATGAACCAGCAGCAATTAGCAGAGACCATAAAAAACCAGCTAACTTCCAAGATGTTGATTAAAGGTTTAAAATGTGGCAAGACATGAAAAATCAAGGAGACAGGCACACCAAGAAGTGTGTAAGAGTGTGTAAGTTTCAGACATCCTTGCATTGATTTATTGGCTCTGAACAACAACAGTCATGGAACGACACTCTTTGAGGCTAGAAAAGATGACCGCACTTGCAAAAACATAACTACAGTAGCAAGAGATGTGATTTGGTAAGGCAATGACTTTATCAAACTAGGTAGCAATACCAAGTTAGAAATCAGAAATACCAGGTGAGAAAATCAGGCCCATGATTCTGATACAGGATATGTTAAAACAGAAATTATTTCTCCCTACCTTCCTAAAACCACCCAAGTAAGTCTGACTACCTCTCTTAGCTTTCATCAAGTCTTTTAGCTTCACCATAGACTTGTAAATGGTTGAAAAGTCATCTAAACCTGGGGACAATTTTATTCCCAGCACTTAGAAGCCAAAGTACAGATTTCAAAACACATTCAACTCCATGGATGTTTTTATCTTCAGATCTACTGCTCTTCCTCAATTATTTTTCTGGAACAGTTACCCATACCTTATTCAGTTTCTCCTAACAGGGACTGTCTTGGCTTTTCACTCTGAAGTACTGGCTTCTGCGTTTAACTCATTTAGAAGTTCAGACCCAGGAAACTATGGGAAAATAAAACTAAATAGGCAGCAGGGACTCACCTGGTTACAGAGTTGACACTGCAGGCGCTCTCTTGAGTTTTTAGGTCTCATAATTCTCTGTCTTGGGAGAGGCCAGCAAGAAACTCCTTTCCTTCCATCTCTTCCTGTACCTTTTCCAGCTTTCTGATTCCAACTGTCCAAAGTGGTGCAAACCAGTAAGAAAACTCCAAAATGCGCCAAAAACCTTCACATGAGCCTCAGGCTAGCAGCTGCCCTCCTGCATGGTATCTTCTGTCCTACCTCCTACTTTTTCTGGCTGTTAGTCTCAAGTGCTACTCCAATCCAAGCAGCTTATTTAGTAAATTGCAGCTGGGATACTTTGTGCCATCACATGAAGGTACACTTTTTCCTTACACACTAGTGTCTCCTCACCACAAACTAAAAGCTGGATAACAGATGGAAGAAAATATTATGTACATGGCACTTCAACAGTATCAAAAGCATAGGAAAAAATCACAACAGAAGGAACTTAAAAAAACTGGGACTCTGCAGAAGTATCACCACTGAAAGTTTCTGAGACACTGCAGAGCTGGTGTTTTCTGATTTTAATCCCTTTTTAGGAAAAAATGAGAGGCATGACAGCCCAAAACATACAAGACACAAGCAGTCACAGCATAAAACTGTCCTTTCTTGCTCCAAAGCTATTTCAAAGTTTACCCAATCTTGCACAGAGCCATCCAGATATGAAAACATCCAACTAGAAACATGCTTAAGACTTGCATGATGGATTGTTACAGCACTGATTAAAAAAAAAATAGTCACTGCCTCAGTGCTGCATTCCAACACAAGCAAGGAAACTGGTTGGGAACAGATGGGAGTTAATGTAGCAGGGGCTGAAGATGGAAAAAACAGAGACAGTCACTAAAAACCAAACAACATTCTTTCTCTTTTTGGTCATCTTTAAATTATACTTATTTTTCAAACCTACATTTGTGCTATGATCACTTGTTTGTATATGTTAAACTGAATTAAAAACAAAAAAAGTTCTCAGAACTTAGAAAATACAAAAACTCACTAACCAAGTTCTCCTAAATAGGGAACTTGAACATTATGGATTTTTTTAGCCTCGCTTACCAGGGAAAAAAAACGGGTAAAGATGAATACTGAACGGAGGGAGGGGAGGGGAGGGAGGGAGGAAAGGAGAGAGGGAGGGAAAGGAGAGAAGGGAGCAAGGGAGGGAGGGAAGGAGGCAGGCAGGCTTGACTCGTTCTCCAAAAAGGGCTTATTACTCATTACGGTGACATACACCCGATGCATACACCTGGCTGAACACACATTCATCTCTGTTGCTCACTTTCCCTCATCCCTCATGCTCCCGTTAGTGCTGCATGGTCCATTATCATCAGGAACAGGCACTGGACCTCCAGCAAACCCCCAGTCTCTCCAACTCCATCATCCCAGCACCTGACAAACACTTCACAGCTGCAAAGGGACAGTCCTTCTCTCACCTCTTCTCAGAGCAAAGGCAGAGGAGTGGGTAAAGGAGCATGGAAGGCTCTTCACCACAATCACGGCAAGGAGCAGCAAGAGCCCACTGACAGCAACCTCAGCAAAATCTCTTCTCCTACTGCTATTGTATGTTGAAATTTCACAGAAATTAGTTAACTAAGTGGCTAGGATACTTCTGTGTTACTGCAACCACTCTAATCTTGCCTAGATAAGAAATCTTATTTATCTCATATGCTGAGTTTACCAGGGTTACTAGCCTGTAATAATTATAAATGTCTAAGCTCAGCACACCTTCATTTCTAGTTGTTTCTCCTCTGAGACTGTAACTTTACCTCATTTGTTAAGAGTCTACTAAGAAGTGGACAAGACAAAGTTTTAATCAAATGTAAGCGGTAACAACAGGTTTTATTCAAAACTTCCAGTAAAGAGGACCCACTAGTTTTGGAATAAAGGTACTTAAAGTACTACAGCTTACATGAATATAAAAATCAAAGAGAAGAAAATAAACAAAGCAGTAAGAAAAAAAAAATTAAAAATATATATATATTTTTTTTTAAGTCTGAAATAGACCCACACAGGGATTTTGAAGTCCTCCAAACAATTAACAGTTACTAGGTTTGGCAAAACAAGATTCTCTTACAAAATTAAAAGCCTACTTCTGTAACATAAAGTGTATAAAACTGCTCAATAGTTAAGAGCACTCTACAATTTTGTTTTGAAATACACAGAGCTGCAGCCTTCAAACTGCAGGAATTAATAATTTTGTCCTCTTCATGGGTAAAAGAATTAACCAGCTGCACAATTGTTTTGGGGGAAAACGAAGAGGCAAAAATAGTCAGAATTAACAAGATGAAGCCATTATTAAAATGAAATGCACAGCAAAACTCAGACCTCAGTTTAAACTAACAAGCTATGTTTACAATATATTCTACATTTCATTTGCCATTTTCCCTTCCCACTCCCACCTCCCCCACTCAAATTTTCCTAATTCTTTTATGGTCTAAATCTAATTAAATTCTAAACTTTCAAATACACCGTACATACATTTAGCAAAAAACATACCTAACATTCTTACAGCAGTATGGTCAGGACACAATTTCAAAGATTATTACACAGTTACTGAGATTATTTTTTTTTCTTTTAAAGAGAACAGCAACCATCAACTTAGACGAACAGTTTTAATATGTACTGCAGAGAGCCTGCAAAAAGTAGATTTCAGCAACATTGGCTCCAAGCCCCAGAGGACACAGGAAATGGTGAGTGCTGAATGTTAAGGAAGAAAGAGAATCTCAGAGTGCCAGCTACAGGAAGATCCTTTGGGAACTCAGTCGGACAGATTGTTGTTTCGGCTCAGTCATCCCCGTTGCACTAAGCCCTGCAAATCAACTTTGCAATATTACGTTACAATGTAAACTAAAATTCTTTCTACCAACAGTATGTCAAAAGGTTTGGGTTTTCGTTTTGGGTTTTTTTTTCTGAATCCAACAGTTGGTCAAAGAAGTCAAGTACTTTCATGGCTCTTATTCAGCTGTCACCAGTTCAGAGGGGAAAAAAAATAAAATGTGTGTCTGACTCATACGTCCTTCAAGTACATGCAAGGCTCAATTGTTTCCAAAATGCAAGGGCTTGGGACCTTTTAAGACACTGAAGAAATAGGATTATGAGGAGAGCCCATCTGAGTAAGTACTTTATCCAGCCACTGAAGGGGACCATGAAGATGTATCTCTATCCAGCATGGAGTGCTTGTTACATCTTGGCGATGATATTCAGCTCCCCAACCCTGGAAACAGAATCATAAGTGGGGAAAGAAAAAAAAAAAAAAATCACCTTATAATACCAAACATACAAAAAACATACTTAAATCATCCTCTTTCTTACCAAAATACTCTAGCTTTCAACAGTCACTATCAGCAAGCAACACCCTTGCTATACAAACTATTACCCCATTGCAGCAAACAAATCTGAAGTTAGAAAAAAAATAATTACATTTGGATGAAGTCTCATTTTGAGATCTCTTAATCGCTTGGAATGGAAGTCTTTAAATTCTTAATGAAATAATCTGTGGCAGTGCAAAACTTCCCCATACCTCATTGTCCCTCCAAAGAGGGGGATAACCAAGTCTTTTCTGCCAAGAACAGGAACAGAACAAATTGGAAAATGCTGCCAAACAGATTAACAAATAAAAAATGGGATCATCAACTGATACAGAAGTGGAGGTGACACATCTGTCTGACAAGAATCAAAGCCTCATTTGCATGATGGACATAACAAACTAAGCAAATCAGAAGCATTTTTCTTTGGATGAAGAGACCACACTCATTCTCCAACAGGCTATTTCTCAATTTAAGCCAAGATAGGTTTTGTTTCAGCTGATACCTGATTCTGTTACAGTAATTACCAAGGATATAAGCAGATATTTAAACAGTATTAAAAATATTTTTTTAAGTGAAATATTTTGGGGGCATGTCTAGAGACAAGACTACAATAGCCACAGGTAGAGTTGCTGCTCCAAATTAACCCCAAATGAAGGGATTACCCAACTCCCAGTACAGGTGGCAACAGCTCTGAACACAGTGTGGTGCAACACCCCATATGCAGGAGGTCCTGCACATTGGTTTGGGCCATGCTGCCCTACAACTCTACAGGATGCAGAGCTATAAGCAACCTTTTTCATTTTAGGAAGCCCTAACACATACGAAAGTCTCTATCCTCTTATCAAGAGCAGCACTTCCACATATTCAGTGGTGTCCAGTGATAGGACAATGGGCAATGGGTGCAAACTGGAGCACAGGAGGTTTCATGTAAACATCAGAAAAAACTTCTTTACTGTGAGAGTGACAGAGCACTGGAACAGGCTGCCCAGAGAGGTTGTGGAGTCTCCTTCGCTGGAGACACTCAAAACCCACCTGGACACGTTCCTGTGTGATGTGCTCTGGGTGACCCTGCTCTGGCAGGGGGGTTGGACTAGATGATATTTTGAGGTCCCTTCCAACCCCTAAGATTCTGTGATATTACCATCTTCATTTGACTGCTTTCATACACGTGACCAGCCCTTTTATATCAGTACCTATGTTGACACTCACAGCAACATCACAAATCCTGACCTTGCATGCCCTGCCTCTAGAATATAAAGTTACATACAATTATTCTAAATAATGACTGTAGCTTTTAATTTTGGAGCTGCTGGTCAAGACAGATTTAGAGGAATATGCTATCTACACTCCTTCAACCACTGTAATTACTTACACTGCAGTCCCAGCTCAACTCTCCAAAAATACCACCCAGAAACAGGAGCATGAAGTTGAGCTGGGCCTTTTACAGAGCAGAAGAAGGCAGGGACTGTAGCTATGGGCAAAAAAAGGGGAAAAAGCTCATGCTACATAACAAATTGGTGGCTTTACCATTTTTAGGCCAAATAATTAATGACTCCATTCTTTTAAAAACTTGATTGAACTGTATCTTTCCATATCCCACAAAATTAAAAGTGAAACCTTAGAATACCGAAGTAATTATGCAAATAAATCCATACACCCACACATTATATACATATTAAATACAATAATTCAATGGAAACACAAAAAATTTGCAAGAGGCAATTCAATGAAACTAGTCATGACAGAAATGCTTTGCAAGTGACTACAGACTTATGTGAAGAAATACCTTCTGCAAGTCACCTCAGGCTTTCCAAGGTGTGCCAGATAGATTTTTGTCCTCAAAGATAACTTCACTCCATTAAGATCATACACTTAATGAACATTATTCCATACTTAAAATTCAACAGCTACTAACAGGTCAACAGAGGGAGGCACTGGATCATTCAAAATCACCATATTAAGAAAAAATAGTTTATTTTACTTACAAAACCATCTCAAGCAAATGTTCACATACCTTTACAAAACTCATACGGAGAGTGCACATCTTTGTAAGCTCATACACTGTCTCAAAGCCATGGTTCACGGACTGAGCCAAAAGCTGAGCAAACTCTTGATTATTGAAAATCTTCAAGCTGCAGCCACTGGGGATTTTGCAGACTGTGGTAGGATGGAACCCATGATGGTAGTTGCAGTTTCGACTTTGCACAAAAATACTGCTGTCACTAAGACATTCAGCATACACTTCCCCACCAACATAATAGAGATGAACACCTGGGAGGAGAAGGTTGACATAAGGAGGTTAGAGGAATTCACACCACGTATCAATTTTTCCACGCTCTTTCTCCACATACATGTTTCTGGTTACAGAGATGAACACTGAGTACCAGATGATCATCTGTCCACCTTCAAGGTTGATTTTCACTTCTCTGTTTTATCTGTAGGTGAACTGAAAGCAGGATTTACATGTATGTCTGTATACATAAGGGAAATGAGTAATTCCTGCATTTTAACATGTTGTATATTCAACAGCAATAAACTAGCAAGCACTCAAGTAGTTTTGACACAGTACTCTGGATGGCTTGACTGCTAACTTTTTCTCATTATATTTATGTAAAACAACAATTGGGAATGCCAAAGGAGAGAGCAGAAACCAACTCCATAATTTGTACATACTAAAGCAGCCCCAAGCCAGATTCTGTGGAGAAGTCCTGAATGCTATTTTGGGTGGTATGAGTATTTATCAGCTCACTTTAATTCCAGAAAGCTGAAAAAAGAAAATGTCCCTTATATTCCTCAGATGTATCTGCCAAGTGTATCTGTCAGTAGGACTCGATTGTTTAAAATGGATTATTTGCTGTTTAAACCTTTCATCTTCCACAATGTAATAAGTCAGAGAAATGAACACACAGAATTTAAAAACTGAAGTCCAGTTGGAAAGCTATGACTGTGGCCTGTCCTGTAAGATTTTGCCTCCGACTGACGATGTGTGTACCTGTGTAGCTACACATATACTCCTACCTCATCTGAAAAAAAAAAATTATGGCCATATCTTCAAGTTTAGGATCTACTCCTCCTTCCTCAAAGACTAACAGTTCTGCACCATCATTAGTTGTAAACATTTACCTATTCAACACCATCCTTGTCTCTTTCACACACTGCCTATGCATTTAAGTGCTTCAGCAGAAGTCTGCTTGCAGCTGGGTTACTTTTAACAGGGAAATGAAGGTGTTAAAGAAATATCCTGATAATCAGTAAGACAGATGAGGAGGAAAATAAGAAGTATTAGGATTTGAGTGGCACAGCACAGCTATGGCGTACTGTTGAGAGCTGTGCAAGTCCTCATGCAGAGAAAAGCTCTCCAGACAGAGAGCTCAGACTTGAAGGCCTGACAGTTCTCTTCAGCTTCATTTCTTTCTTCCTCTGGGGAGGTGGAGGATACTTCATTAATTTCCACTTACAACATACACCCCACACTTGGGCATGCTGAATCCTCAACTATCTCAGAAAATTTAGAGTTTACTAATAACATAAACACCTAAAAAATCTCTCTACCAGGAATGCTCCATTACAGCAGGCAATATCAGTTTTGCCTGTCATTTGCATTATAGACGAGTTCTCAGAAAAGAGGACTGTTTTAAGTCATAAATAAAACAGAAGCTTTTCTCTTTTGCAGGACACTTTCACAGCCATAGAAGAAAAGCACAAAATCCTCACAGAAACAATCACCAGCCTGTGAAAAATGCATTTGGAAGAACTCTTTTAGCAAGATGTCTCTCTAAATACACGGTAGGATAGATAATTTATGTGGGAACTACTACGGCTAGCTGAAACTTTTGTGCCAAAAACTATTATTTGGATTTTCTTTTCAATCAACAATCAAGATAAATCAAGGCATTTCATCAGACAAACTGCCTTAAGTTCTCATGCTAATGAAGACTATGATAGCCTTCAGGCAACTAAAAATTGATTAAGGGTTAAATCTTCCTGTAATTACACATCAGGTAAGAACAATGTATTTACCAATATAAGCATTTATGCCATGTAATTTGACAGACCAGCCAGCTTCTGAGGCAAGTGGCCTAGGTTGTCATGTCTAGGGGAAACACCTTCCTACCCCCTAAGCTCCCCCAAACAGATGCAAAGATCCAAAATTCACCTTTGCCAATGTGCCGCCTGGTGTTCTCAATGGTGGAGTTGCGGTTAACGTTGGAGAGCAGCCCCAGGCAAAATCTGTTCTTGTTGTTGGAAGGATCAGTGAAGCCATCTACCAGGACACTGGTGGAAGAAGCATGGAATGCCTCCCCAACGCGATTATTCAGCTCATAGTAGACAATGGAGCACCAATGCTTTGGCTCCTCATAAGCAACTGCTTGAACATCTGTAAAGCAACAAGGGAAAGGTTACAATCTAACAGTGCCAGAATACAAGCTTGAGATATAAAGATTCATAAACCTGCAGTTTTTTACTTAAGATTGCTGAAAGACAAGCCATATATAAGCAACTGCAGCTAAACGAAGGCTCTTCTACCTTCAGTTACTTTTTAACTTTTCATAGCTACAGACATACAATAGAATAATTTCACCTCAACTTTACCTGCACAAGACTCACAAGAGACTAAGTTTAGCACTAGATATCAACAGGAAAGCACAGAAAGCTCCTGGAGACATACCAAGCAGTGCCCCATTTTTTACTGTTGCATTTTTTACAACACACTATGGTGTGGGCCCACACAGCAGAGAAATGCTACAATTACACAGCTCAACCGCGTTTGCAGTTTAGCAAATGAACTTCTACTTCATTTTACTCAGCTATCAAATTACAAGTCACCTCTGTGCTTACTGCTACGTTGTACAGTGCCAAGGAGAAATAGCATCACACAACTGCACAAGAGACCATTTGTAACTTTGGGCACCAAAAAGTATAGTGAGGTATCTTAAATATGCAACAGATATATACAGCAGATCAATCATTCAGCATTCAGGGCGAGCACAAATCTTCCTCCCGGGCTTCTTAGGGGGAGGGTAGAAGGCTTCAAAAACTCAGAGACATTGACATTTGTCTGCAGAACATGCACGACGTGCATCTTCAACATGACTAGATACTGCTTGGGAAGGGAAGCTGAAGTAGGGCATAATGCACAGGATCCTAACAATTATGCTGGGCTGAGGAGCAGATGAAATGCAGGATGTTATCTTTAGTCAGAACTTTTTACTCATCAACTGCCACCAAATGCAAAATCTGCAACTGCTCATCACCAAAAGAATTACGTATTGAATAACAGCAAGGATTTCTCAGAATGTGGTTTTCAGACTCTGGTAACAAGAAGCTCCTCCTCAACAGCTCCAAATGGAATCTAGGAATTGTGCAGGATTCTGACAGGAAATTCCTGGTTCACAAATTCTACCTATCAAGCTCTAGAAACAAATGTTAAGTCTTGAGGTAACACATGTGACTGTGCGCAGGGAATAATTTCTCCAGATTATACTGAAGGTCTTTACCAAAATGTTTCCCAGTAGGTGTCCAACAACAGCACAGGCTTCTTCAGCTATCTCCACCCAGTGCACTTTCTTTCAAGTGCCAAGTACAGCTATAGATTATTAAACTGCCTCCAAATAAAAGGAGGCTAGCAAAGGGATGTGGTTGCTTTCCGTGGTTTCTTTTAAATGAAGGAGACTATCTCTCTAAGTAGCCCAGCTAGACTTGATGCTAAGACACCAACTTTGCAGATTAAAGCTCCAAATACAGGTCAAAGTACTAAAATGAAAATCAGACTGGTATTACAGGAAAATTTGTTTCTCTGGCCAGATGTTTCCTTCTCCCAGCCCAAAGTCTTTACTGAAATCAGCCTAACAGCAGTGTTCATATTTTCCTCTGTTCACTGATCATACCGTTACAATTTTTTTGATACATGCAAAACAAAAACCAGAAAGTACACCCCACCAAAACCAGCAGTACATGATAGATACAAAAAGGTGGCAAATAATCTAAAGCACAGTAACACATACTACATCACTGAGCTAAACTTCTCAGCGTACTGTCTACTGCTGAGCAATAACTTGTTTAAAACACTGGTAAAAAGCAGCAGATCTTTCCTGATACCCTAGCACTTTCTACCCTTTTACATTACTGAAATAAGAAAAAAAGATTAAAAATCAGTCATTAATTATTAGTAAGAGTTTACTACACTTTTAATTCCCGTGAAGATGCCAGCAATTATCAAAGCTGCAGCTTTGCCCCAGTTCTCAAAGTCAGGAAGAAATCCTGCCAGCTGGCCATTCTTACAGAATGAATCATATCTCTCTCACACAGAGTTCGTACTAACTTCCTTACATTTGCTTTAAGTCATGCAGAGCAGGTGCGTTTAGTCTCTCTATTCCCAGCATGGGCCAACAATGGAAATTACCCAACTTCATTGACAGGATGCAGCTTGTTAAATCAAATCTCTTAAGACTAACAAATCACCATGAAGAACATGCTCCTAAAAAGTCTGCAACAGAAATGCTGCAGTAAGTTCACAGTAAAAACTCTTATTTTAAAACCTGCAGCAGAAGAACAATTACAGCACATGAATAATGAACTTAAGGCATACAGAAGTAAAGTTTTGGGGGGGGGTTGTGTTTTTTTTTTATGAAGGTACAGAGATGAAAATCCATTGTAGTAAACTACTAGGAAGAAAAAATACTAATAAACAGTTTTTATTTTGAAATGGCTGAGTATTAAAAAAGCAAGAGGAAAAATGTAAACCCTTTTCTCGTTATCAACTTTCATGTAATAGAGGAATTCTACAGTACTTGTGTATTTAATGAGAGGGACAAACATGCAAAGGTCTACAATTAGGCATAAACATTGATAAATGTACTCTGGTCTAGCAGGGACTATACACATGCACAGAGTGTACTGGACCAGCAAAAAGTAGAAATGCTACAGATGGGGTTTATCACATCCAAAACTCATTCGACACAGAGAGTAAACAGGTTAGGAAAAAAAGCTATCCAAATTGTTCTGAGCAGGCAAATATACTTCCTGAAACTAGACATTAAGATTAAACAAATTTAAAAAAATAAGTTTAAAAAAATAAATAAATTAAACAACAGTTAAATTGTTCATATGCTTGTTATCTTGATAATCATTCTGGCACATCATCCAGCTTGCTGCTCGTTCTTGGCATGGGCCACAACTGTGTAAGCTCATACATTCTCTAAAGGGGCTATTTCTCACAATGTGATGAATGCAATAAATCCTTTACTCAGCAGTCACGGCTGGCTGCAAAGGCTTTGAAAAGCAGCATGTAAAAAGTTGTCTCTGTCATAGTACATAAAGCAATAGGGGTTTTTTAATACAGATTTAATACAGTCTGCAATAATGCCACACCTCAGGCTGGCAGTTCTGAATTCTGAACCAAGTGCTATCTCTGCATGACTGAAAGATGGAACCAAAACGAGGAGAGAGGGAGTAACAACACAAAACACACAAAAAAATTCAAATGCTCTTATAAGCAGTAGAAGGGTAAATTATTAAAAGCAGATCATACTCTTTAAGGACTGAAGTTGAGAATTTGTGACAAAAACATAGTAAGAATGGACAATTTTATGAGATGTACCATCTCAGAAGAAAAATCAGGTATTCCAGTTGCCCATGTAAAATGTCTTTGGGCAATTACATAATTGACAGTATTAGCAACCATCCTCTGATCAAGTCTTTGCTTGGAGAACTATACTTGACCTTTTCTACTCCTATCCACAATTCAGTAAGCTGTATACAGCATTACCACATTGTTCCAACAAATCTATGTAATTGTAAGAGAAAGTCTTTTCCTTGCACATTCTTCAGCAGTACATGCAGAAATGTGCAGCATCACAGGAATTACTCTGTTTGGTGCTTTTAGTGGAAGCTCCAGATACAAAACATAAAATGATTTTGGTTGTTGAGTTGGTTGAGAGTAAAAAAGCAATAAACCTCATACGTTTTACATTTTTAAAGTCATGTGCTAGCTTCTTGTGCTAAATAAATATTTAGATTCATAAAAGTTTATCTCCAGATTTACAACAATGGAAAAAAATTACATGGCTTTTTTTTTCTCTACAGCTGAAAATTTTCATAAACCAACATACATCCAAAGCAGAAGATGAGAAGGAAGTGTTTTTACCTCCTCTGTGTATGTCAGGGGGAATTGTGGGTGCCATCATGTTGGTATCCATTGGCTGGGAGGTATCGTGTGTCATCTGATCTTCCGGAGGCAGGTAAGCAGGAGGAGGGGTATCAGCTAAATATAGAAAAGGCAGAGATATACAAGTCCTTTCCTCTCCTTAAAGTACATATACACAGCCACACAAACAGTTTTAGCCTGGAAATGCTTCCAGCCTGACTCAGCTATAAACTTCCACCCACCAGAAATCTGAGAAAGCAATCATGGACCTTGAATCAGAAAAGCAAAGAATTACTGTGGATAGCAAGCACAATTGCTGTAAAAACAAATCATGTCCCCCCAATCAAGCCACAGAAGAAAGTTATGTTCCCAGCTCAGATTTTTTGCAAGTTGAAAGTGAAATATAGACATGAAGGCAAAAATAAGTCTCAGGATCAGGCCAGAAGTAAGTATCAAATATGGTAATTGTCAACAGAAGTTGGTGCAGAAAACGTTCAGTTTAAACTGTTCTGTTTCCAACATGGTTCTATCTGCAAAGTACACAAACCTAGATATATCCAGGACCTTCTCTAGACTGGGAACAGCATACAGTGTTCAGGAACCCAAATTCTACAGAAGTAGCTACCTGGGTCTGGAATTTCTCTCAGTGTCTGTTACTGGCTGTACAATTCAGCCAGTATTTGTAAAGTTTTTCAGATCTCTGGATAACTGCTTTGCTTGTGTTTTTGGTTTTTTTGTTTTATTTTATTTTCAAAAGTCAGCCTTGTTCCCCATTAGTGCAAGACAGACAGCTGTCAAGAGCTAAGCGTCCAGGGCAACAATGTCTTGACCTCTTTTCTAATTCAGTTTCTTCACTGCAGCTGCTGACTTGTGTTCACAGGCATGCGGACAGAACAGACCCTCAAAGATCAAGTGAACTTCCACATACCAGTGCTCAGGAAGACCTCGTTAGAGAAGCCTTTATCTCTGCTGGAACAGCCCCAACCACACCATTCATATTTTTAAAAAAATCATAATCCAATAACAAAAAACACAGCAACAAAAAAATCCCCAAACAACAAAAAAAAACACACAACAAAAATTGAAGAAAAGGCAGATGGTTTTGTGGCAACTTTCACATTTTTTAGAAAAGCCAATATAAACCCTCTTTCCTTCTCTCCTGCCTTTGCAAAGTCAGTAGTCTTCACTCAAAAGAGAAAAATTTTGAAGAGAAATAACTATCAGCAGCAGAAATCCATGGATGTTAATTTCATGTACTAGAAAACAGATTTTCTCAAGTCTGCCACTTTGTTTACACACATTCTTCCTCAGCCCCCAAAGAAAACATACAAATAAGAACTTGAGTAAGCATTTGTGTGGAGTCCTTCTCCCACCAATTAGGTCAAGAAATCTGTCACAGACTGCTTCTGCAGCATTTTTATTCATCTGCATGTAAAGACCAAAAACAGACAGCTTCACAGAATTTTCTACAGACATGAGTCAACAAAGGAAGGTTATTACTTTTTCGACTTTAGGAAGTAAAACAACCTGAAGATTTATTTTCAGGGCCTTAAGGAACTATTTTTCAGCTGAAGTGTATTTGTTTCTTGAGATAACATCATTATGTGAATAAATTGTATCAAGTAGTAATAGCATGATACCATTGAGAAACATCCTTCTGCAGAATTAAAGCCTTGTGCTGAATTTATGATGAACTTTTTCCTAAGCAAGGATGACCTGTAGCATCACATCTGTGCATTAAACACTATGCTTTGTGGGCTAAACTGTTGAACCGGTTCCCAAAAAAGTTTGAATCCCTGCCCTAGAATAGTTTTACTGTAATGTTTTAACTGTGTTTGAAAGAGATACAATATTAAAACCCCCTAGTATTTGTAGACAAAGTGATTATATAGTCTTTATTACTCAGCTCACTACTGAACACATGTTGGCTGATAACTTAGTATTATTAAGAAAAAAAATATCGTTATACCAGTGATATGCAACCACCTTCTCTCCCTTCTGTAGAGGAACCAAAGTTGACTGTACCTGGCATCTGGAAAGGACTTCCTGGGTCTGAGCTGGCTGGAGAATGTGGGTAGGTGCTACTGCTGCTTCCAGGCGAGTTTGGATAGCTGCTGTTGGGCGAGTGAGGGAAGGGGTGACTATTGGGTTGCTGAAAAGAGTCCGGGAAAGTAGCGTTGTGCGGCATGTGGGGCTCGTTCTGTCCCAGGTTGCGAAACTGGGCCAGGAGGCTGTGCTGAGGGTTGTACTCGCTGTGCCTTGGAACCAACACTGGAGGAAGGACTGGAAAGGAAGAAAGAGGGAAATGCCACAATGTTATACACTCACTTTTGAAGGACTAGGCTATACAGGGGAAAAAAACACATTCTTTCTCCCCTAGGGCATATTCACATCTGTCTTAAAAATGAGGTAGTCAAATCCAGGAGCACAAGTCTAAGCAAGAATTATTTTCCTTATATTAAGTTACTGCATAGCTCAAATCCACAGCCATCGTGCTAGCTACCTGGTTTGCCAGATGGGAGCTTCTTTTCACAGAGGGCCAGTGAAGAAGATCCAAGAACAAACCACAGTTCTGCATTTTAGTTTTACTCAGACAAAGAAATCCTGGGAAGTGCTTTACAATGCTGACATGCAGTTCATTTTGCTGCACTTGTGATCCTGCTAATCACATAATGGCCTGTAACCCAAAACCCTGCTAATAAGGACAGATATTTTTTTCTGAAGACCATACTAATACTAACAGGCCTTGAAGTCAGTTTGGTCCCAACAGCTATAATTTTACTTTTAACCTGGGTTATGTTCTTACAAGTTAGTATCAAAACACTATTAACTCTTCAAATCAGTTTACAAAATGTGCAATTTTAACAAAATTACATAGCTAAAAAAAACAACTGAGCAGCAATTGAGCTTCACTGTGTGCTGCTATGGAGACACATACATCAGAAACTACTAGTCTCACCACACTCCCAAGGCCTCCAGAGGGGAATGAAGGTCTTTAACTGGAAATATGAACATGGTACCAGATACACTAAGATAAAAGAATCAGCTCCTTTTCCAGTGCCTCAGCTTCTATCTTTGAACTCCCCAGAGCAAAGTCTAAACTACTCAAAGGATTATAAGGTCATCTTGTTACAGATTAAGATTTTTGGGTGATGAAGGGAAGAGGAGAGCAATTGCAGGGAGAGGGAGATCCATGGAAGAGAAATTCAGAAGAGAAGAGAAATTCTAAAGTTATTCCCCTCCACATCTTTCCCCCTCCAGCACCTCCATTTCCCAGCTCTATGGCCTAGCAGGACTGGAAGAAATCCCGCAGGATAGCCTGTCTTCAAAGGAAGATGCCAAAGACCCCACAAAAACCAGCAAAAGCAAGACAAGCTACCATCTCCCCCTACGACTCTTGCCCTGTCCCCAACATCTGATGGGCACACAGAAGAGGAGCATGTTTACATGACAAGCGTATACAGGCATAACTATCACTCAGATTAATAAAGGTGTTTTGAAGACAGATGTTTCACTAAAAGGCTGAATTACAAACTAATTGCAAAAAATCCCCAAACATTATCTTGCCAAGACCAACAGTTTCTTCCAAGATACTGGAGCATTTTTATTCTTCCAGTACGTTGCTTACACAGAAACAGTGAGGTACTTATGGGAGTGTTCTGGAGTCCAAGAGTACCAGGACATAGCACAGGCCATGCCTGAAGCCTAGGTTCATGTTGAAAATGGATACAAAAGTATGTCACACACAACATTCATTCTCTATTCCTAAAGCGAATTAACAACAACCACCTAAAAAAAACCCCACAAACTCCACAACAGAAAATAAGCAGCAGCCTTCCCTTACTCCTTTTTTTAAAAAAGAGAAACTAAGCCACCAGATTTCTGCCTGCTACTGGCATTAATGCATTAAAAGTTTGTCCGCAGAAATCTTCACCAAACATACACTGGAAAAACAAAACATAACAATAAAAAACAGCCCCTTACTACTGAAATTAAGGCTGCTTGTTAAGAGTCAGAAGCAGGTTTTAAAGATTTAATCTGATGTCTGACTTTCTTAGAGCAGCTTCAATGAGATCCCAACAGATCTCAAATACCTGAGGCAGATGTCACCCAGATTTGTTTAGATGTGAAAATTTTAACCATCTCTACAAGGAATATACAAAGTTCCTAACAATGACATCTTTTGAAATAAAACACATCTATCTGCCATTCTATGGAAGCTCTCAATTGCAAAACACGCCAGGAGAAGCTACATCTCCCTTGGCTGTGCAGACTGTCCCTTGCCTCTAATACAACTATTCTCATGTCACTGGAAAAAGCCATTTAAAAAAAAAAAAAAAAGTTACTCAACATTCAGATGGTTAACACTAACCCCCTCATTCACAACACAGCAGATGTCAAACTCAATCTCTCTCAATATTAGGATCTCTCAGAATTAAGCTTGTCCTTTGGTAGGGAGGTCAAGCACTTTTTAATTGTCAGTCAACATTGCTGGGCTAATAAATTACCAGTGAAAAAAGTAACAATGAGATCATGTGTTAAAAAGTATTTTCCCTTTCCTGTCTTTATGATTCTTCCTTACTTTTCCAAGTACTAAAAAAACAGCTTTCCTCTCTCTTTCTTTCCTATGGATGAAGGTCAAACCACTAACTTTTCTGAAGCTAATTTGTGCAGAAAGTACATCACCTACCTTTCCCATCCCCTACTTCACATTAAACAATGACACACATGACATCACAGGAAGGCACACGATTTATAGCATTTTAAAATAGCAGGAGAACAGGATATTTTCTGTATGCTTTCTGTAATTAAAGTAAAGCTGTGCCAGATTTTGCCAGAGTATAGATGCATGTCTCCTTGGACAGAAGCACTTGAGAAGTTTAGAAGGACTGAAAAAAACCACCACCAACAAAAAAACCGAAGTGTCCTCTTCCCAGTTCTCCCTCATGCCTGTATTTTCCGTCCAAATACTTTAACCTAAAGAGCAACTTCTTCAAAATACACATTGAAAAGGGAGAAAGAAGGGAAAACAATACAACTGGCATTCATATAGCATGCAGCCTCAGAAATATCACTGCAGAATTCACTTTGAGTGCTGCTTCTAATGCACATCTCCCTGCACACAAGCAACCTTAAATAAGGAGAAAAAGCCCTGAAAGGCCACGTCAGGTGGGACAGAGACTACAGGGCCAATTAGTCCAACTCTAAGACAGTCACTGACTGCTATAATCTGATCTCTTTGCAGGCTAGCTGCTCCTGCCAGAGTCACACAGGACTTAATTTGCATGCTGTTCACTCAGGAGTGAAGACATAAGTAGGGACCAGGCCCTCCACAAGTATGGAAGGATGCCAGGAGTACAAACCATAGGGTGGGATGTATACCCTTCTTGCTCCCCTTGCCCTGCCTGAAGCCCTGAGCTTCTGGTCAGGTTGCAGACCTCAACCAGATGGAATAACAAATTACTGAGGCACAGTACAGCAGGGGAGGAGGCTGATCTCTGCTGCAGCTGCCAGCTCCAGGAAGAGGTATAACTGAAGGGGAGAAAGCACAAGAGAGTTACTCAGTTGCTAAGCCAGCAACACACCTGTTACTATAAAATAATGAAGCCGAGCACATCTTTGCTGTGCAGATCTCCACAGGACACTGCTCTAACAGTTAAGAGACTGAACTCCCTTCCTGCTTACCTTCTTCAGCAGAAAGGAATACAGTATTTATCTATGGTATAGATCTATACAGTAGGGATGTGTGTATTTAAAGGAAACATACTATTAAATACATTGTTTTCTTTAAAGGCTACTGCAGTAGATTTGTAAATTCAAGTTCACTAAAACTGTTAAAACCAGTTAATGGAGTAGAACCACAAGTCATCTGACAGCTTGATTTCCATACTTTCACAAACACCAGATTAAAAGGTTTTACAGGCTATATTGTGGCTAAATTCTGCTCCAAGATTTTGCATACATGTGGAACTAGTTGACAGTCCATAAATGAGAACTAGCAGTAATCCTACTAGTAATGATTGAACAGGAAGGTAAACCACCTGGAAACAAGGCTGGGTATGTTTGTGGAAATGTAACTAAGAAGAGATCCTGCATCTGTCAAGACAGCCTGGGAATTAGGTAGCTTGTTTTTACCATGCAAATAACACCCAGAACATACCTGCACCAAAGAAGTGGAGCTGTATGCAAGAAATTACAGCTACAGGGCAACTTTACCCACAGGGTTATTACATCTAAGAGCCAAGAATGCCAAAAATACAGAAGATAGACCAAAGACAGCCCGGTTATGCAGATAAGTGTTTCAACTAACCACACCAAGAAATAAAATGCTTTTATGAAAATGTAATGGTAGTCTTTGAAGGAATCTAATGATCTCTAGTCTTCATCTCAAGCATGTCACCCCGTTCTTCAGAAATCTAACAGGTCTGCTGTTCTAGAGTAAAGATTTGCTTGAGCTTCTTTTTTGTTCAGTTCTCCCATTCTGGAGGTAATGATTTGTGAATATAACTTTTTTTTTTTTAAGTTTCTCTCTAGAGAAACTTTAATCCAAGCCAAAGGACCTGCTGTACCTTCAAAGGAGCGTACTTTCTATCCATATGGGTTTTGGTTCTCTTACACAAGCCCAGATGACAGCTAGTTCCTCCTCAAGGGCTCGTGTTTTTCCTCCTTCGTATATTACATGAAGATTTAGGTAGGTATCTCTCTTTCCATGTCTGGAAATTGAACGACCAAGTAATAAAATACAAGAGGCCACATATAAGAAAGCAGACTTTGATCATCTTTCCTTGTCAAAGTAGATTCTGCTTCTGTGAGCCTTACAAAATAAACAATTAATTTAAAAAAAAAAAAAAGGAAAGAAAGAAAAAGATGAGCAATTGCTGCTGCAATTTCTGCACTTAAAAATCATGACAACTTGGTCAACTTATGTTCTGTAGAAGCTTTTGTACAGGCTTACACCACAACATAGCCCTCAGTTCTAATGAAGACTGGAGGGCACTATCATTAGACAATACACTTTAATTTTGAAGCATCATATAGCTGTATTTTCATATGAATTTACGCAAAGCCACTTAAGTTTTACTAGAAAAACAGAACTGCTGGTTGGGAAGGAGAGAAATTCTCAGACATCAGTTCATGCGATCTGGAAGTGGGTATGAAAGCATGGGGCAGGGGGAGGAACTTGAAGCTTGTACTCTACACACCGGATAGAAAATCCTGCAAGGACAAAGTTTTAAGAAAAATGAAGAATTAGGAGGAGGAAAAAAACCCCACAACACACCAAC